TGGCCATTGAACTTTTGGAATCGTCAAGTTTGGCCATGAACTATTAAAAGTGTGATTTTGTCCACTGAACTATCTAAAGTTTATATTTCAGGCCATTCGGTCAAATTTAATAGTTACTGTGCCCCTTTCTTTTGTCTCGTAAATCATGCGAGCACTCAGATTTGTCATGTTTAATGATTAAATGTAACAGAATAGCGTGAATGTAAGCTTTAGATAGTTCAATAGTCAAAACCAAACTTTTAATAGTTTAATGATCAAAATTCGACGATTCCCCAAGTTTTGTGGTCATCCAGATAATTTGTTCTCATTCAAATGAAAGCCTAATGAAAACAGCCAAAATTCTACTTTGACAGCCGGAAGCCCTGGGAGGTGGATGAATATGTTTCTGTTCTTTCTTGTAAGAATATATTTTCTTGATTCAAATAGCAATGAATTTGTCAAGCACCAACTTAGATCTAGGTATTCCCATACATAATAAGTCATTGTTTTCACTGATGCATCATAAGATTTTATGAGTCTCTTCAGTTAAATAACTCGATGAAACAAGATATAACGTTGATCTGTTAGGCTTAAACGGGAAGTAGAATAGTAAGGTCAACTAGAATATGCCTAGGAATTTTTTAGTATCATTCATATAGGAAGACAATTATTAGAGGCAACCAATCACAAAAATTATAATAAATAAATAAAGAAAAAACAAAAAGATAAAATTACCTTTGTATCATCACTCCCTCTGGGAGAGACTGGGGGACTATCTGAAGTTGATAGTGGATGAGTTTGCTGTAGAATGTGGAAATTAGATAAAAGTGAATATTGAAGCACGCTTAAATACTTGTAGAAATTAACGTGTGTTGTTTGTGCTGTAAATGACTACTGTAAGAAAAAAGGTTTGATAAAAGGCTTACTGCAGGTTCAGTTGAAATTAGAGGGCGTGCTTTTAGAGCTTGACTGTCACCTAGGAAAGACAACTGTGGCTTTTCATCATGGTTCATTGCACCGTTAGTATGAGTGAGAGCTTTTGAGAGTTCCATGGAGGACAAACTCCAGGACCTGGCAAGGAATTCCATGGACTCAGTAGGGGTTTCAGGTGGAGGACATGTTGCTGGTAGCCAAATTGCTTCACTGTCTTCCTTGATGCCTTCAAGCTTATTGGGCATGCATTTGGAGCTGAAGGAACTCACTGAGAGAGAAACAACACATGCAAAGGAAAAGACTGTGTTTATAATTAAGGTGACATTATTGTAATTTTGTTAACTTTAAAGAATCATAAGTTGTGATCGAGCTTACTACTAAATTTGTACTCCCTGCAGCCTTGGATGGAGAGAAGCCTCTGTTTAGCCGCTCAGACTAGGAGGATAGCTTTGAATTGGAAGATACATTGTTATATATAGCATGGCTTATAGCAACAATTAAAGTAGCAGTATTGTCTCTTCTATACTTTAATATCATATTATAGGTCAAAAAAGGTTGCACTGCAGTAATGTTATCATACACAAACTAAACAAAAACAACAGAAAGTGTGCAGAAAATCTTTGGTGATTAAATACTCAAATTTTAAAACCAACATTGGAAGTGGAAGTACATGCTCTCCATAGTCTAATTTACTGTGTGATGTGTCCCAATTAAAGCAGAGGAAACTTTGTCTCCAACTAAGCGTCAGCCTTTCTTATCTCCACTTTGTTTTCTGCTTTAAGCATAAAGAGCTAAAGATCGTTTTTCGAGCGGCGGGCTTCATAATGACCAAGGACTACTTTGACGCCATTATTACTGCCCAAAGTAAAGATGTTAGGGCCCTCCATTCCAGTACTCTCCAGACTGCAGCAATCAACCAACAGAAAATGTCGGAATCCTCCTCCTGTTGGGATGTAGTGGAAACTCTTGCTGTTGTTTGATTCTCTTACGCGACCATCTGTGCATGTAACTGAGCATAATTAGCACGGCTTTCCCTGATTGGTTTGAACATTGAGATCACCCTTAGTAACATGTGCAGATTGAATCTTTCCAAAATTTCTTGGAAGGCCTTGAGCAAATTTAGCCATGTAATAATACAACTTTTTATTTTGTGTTTGCAACGCCGAAGAAGCCTTTGTCTATTGACTAAAGTTGAAGCTCCAAGATTTAGAGATTGTGATTCCAATCCCCCTTCCCTCCCACCCTTCCCCTGCTAAAAATATTATGTGTTTGCAAGAACTTAGCTTGAGGAATTGAGACATTCTGAATTGTAGACGGATTCTCATGATAGAAATTGCTTAATCATTGATGGTATGGAGTATAATCCTATCTGAAAGACCTCCTCTTCTACCATCATTGAAAAAGCTCTTTCCCAGACTGGCTCCATGGCAGACTGTTATAGGTGCATAACAATTCTAAACTCAAAACGCACGGGTGCTTGACTTGTAAATGCCATGTCCTTTTAACGATGTTATTAGCCAAAATTATGCAACCTTGGCTACTAGAATAATGGTTTTCCAGTACAAAAAGGACATGAAAAAAAATATGAACATAGGGCACCTAGGCACTGGACTTATGGGGCTGTGGAGTCCATTTTGTGCCTCTAATGATCACCATTTTTCTCTCGTCCAAGCAGCAGCCATTGAAAAGGCTACCTAAGACTTAAGCAGCAGTTTTTATTTAGGTAATAAAGATGTGATTTGTGACTTCTATGCAATCCCCAAATTCGGGAGTTCCTCTTTTTGTTCACTCTTCATCATTGCTTTTACGGTAATCATTCTCAAAAGATGGCAACGGAGCACTAAGCTTCCTTAGGTCCCGTATTCCATTACAGAATCTCATCATAGCTTGTCATTAACTCCCTTGTCTTTCCGTATAATACCCACATCAGATCATTCTGATTTAAGCAACTAATCTAGGTAGGGAAAAGGAAGACATAATTTACACACTAGGTGCTCCAAGGAATCATCAAGGTTTAATAAGATAATTAGGAAAGCCAAATTAAAAAGTTCAAGAATAAATGCAAACCAATCCCGTCTGTCTACATGTTATTTATTTTTTTTCACCGGCCCCATGGAGTTTGGTAGCGAAATCATTCCAACATCTCGTGTCAAAATTTTTTTAATCAAATGAACGATATCTCTCATGCTTGTGCCTGTACTCTCTCTAACTGCTATAAGATCAAATTCCTATGATATTTTCCAGGGCAAGTTTAGATGTAAATTAGCACATACGGGAAGTTTTACATGACATTGTAGAAAAACTTCAAACATGAATTGTATTAGAAAATGAATGAGAAAACTTTTCATGATATGACAAAGCTCAAGGGGTGCTTGGCTTTAGGCAGGTTTTCATTGGTGTCTGCAATTGTATTGGTTTCTGAACCTGGGCATTTTCCTTTTGGGTACTTGGCTTTAGGCAGGCGTTTAGACGTCAGACAGGGAAAACAATTAGAATGTTGTTGCAATCAATCACCAAGCTCTCTCTGCAGCCACCAACATTTAGGTTTGGTTTTGGAGCCAATATCGGCAGCCTTTCGTATCTTATCTTAACATGAAAAAGAGATGTAAGAATTACCAGGAAAGCAAACCTTGGGTTCACGATTGGTTGGGCGCCATGAAAATCCTTTACCTTTAATCTTGTTATCTACAATAACAAAGATAAATAATCATCAACAGGGAAAATCACTCACCAAGAGGCACCTGTGTCTAGATAATCTTCCTCTTATGACATTTTCAGGAAAATTATGCTAGTAATTTGAAATGCTTGCAAAGCCGAAAGAATTCTTCCTTTCTCTGTGTGTGTGTGTGCGTGTGTGTGTTTTTTTTTTTTTTTTTTTTTGGGTAAAGCTATATACAACTTCTCGCTCTCATAAGGACATTTCATCCAACATTCAAGGAGATGTTAGTCAGGAACAACTGCACAAAGCAGAGGAGAACCAAAAACAATAGTTAGAACATGGGCAAACTGAAGGCAGTATCAAAAACTTCCTGGGGTCAATTCTCTCATAAAGGTGAAAGTCCTTCAGTTCTTCATGATTAGAATCAAAAGGAATTCACCATTTCCGGATAAAAACCAGCAGCACTAAATACCCCCATATGAAAGAAAATCTGCCGAGGTCCTCAATGGATTCAAAACAGGTGACTCCACACACATGCAGGCAAAACAGGAAGCCTAATTCCCTCTCAAAGGACTTCAGAGATATTCCAGACTTGCTTCTCTAAACTGTAAATAGTCCACAAGCCTAAAAAACAATGATAGATTCGTCATCAGGTCCTGCCAATTAACTGGTGAAAGTACTCAACCAATAGGTGAACCTGCTTTCCTCTGCTTTTCGAATACGAGTCCCCAGTTCAACACCCCAATCTATACTTTTGTGCCCATATACGAAATCAATTTAATAGCGCCACTGCTATCGCATTTAAATCCTCTTCCCTCCTTTCAACAAATTTCAGGTCATGTAAGAAACCTTAAAGAGAAAAATGTACCTAGTAACCTTTTGGGCAATAAGTTAGAATTCTTGTGCGCAAATAAGTCCGTGTCAAGTATGGAAGCAGCAGCAGCCCCAACCCCCCCCCCCTCCATTTTCTTTCCTACTGGCTTTCCTACTTTTGCGCGGAGTATCCAATTAACCTTCCATTCATTTACTGAACAGAACATAGAAAAGGACACAACCCATTCAAATTTGAGCAAAGTCATTCAGCTTCAGCTTCTATATTGACCCACAACCAGCCAAAACACCGAAAGATTCGAAAAAGAAATTTGTTTGATCCTCCAGGCTCAAGGAAATGTCATCAATCTCTTAATTGACCAAGCAGACCAGCTACTTAGAAGTCAGCTCAAGATCATCACATTATTATTCTCTGTGCAAGATGACGCCAATTCTAATCCATCCTTTCCATATGAAGCCAAGATCCCTGTTGCATACAAATACTGTCCAACAATAGTAGAGATTCTAACAGAATATTTCCATCAAATCTTGTTACATAATAACATGTCAAAAGTTTTAAAGAGTAACAGTAACATTCATCAAGTTAACTAGAAATGGTAGAAGGAAACAAAAACCCAGAAAGCCCTTTGATTGGTTATTACTGTATGCGTTATACTAAGCAAATGCAAGAATGGACATAAGTTCTCAAATAGTCGATCCTTAATTTGTCTTTGTCTTTGGGACTTAAAATCAAGAATCTCAACTAATCCTTGTTTCAAGTTTCGCAAACTTATATCATAGTCCTGAACGAGGTGCTATACGTGTAGTATATCCTTTGGACACTAGGCCTTGCATGTTCAAAGGTTATGGCTTCTTTCCAAGCAAACGTTGATTCCCAAAAATTTTGGGCAAAGGTTTGGGCCAAAATTGAGCTTGATCCGCAGAAATGAAGAAGGAATCCGAAGTGATAAATTCTCAAGCCAAATGATAGAGAAGTATCACAAAAAGGTAATTCTCATGCCTTCTTTAACCAAACAAGGACATTTAGTTCAAATTACATGATCTTCTAGCCAGATTTGCATATTCACAGTGTATGAGCCTGCACAAGTATTTACCTGTAAACACCAAGTATAAAACTTTCCATCCTTGAATGAAGTCCTTAGAAGCTATATATTCGGCATTCAGAAGCAGCAGCTTCACAGGTGTTATATTGATCACATACCAAAATCTGAAAGGTAGTGAAGTGCAAAATAAGCCATAACCAGAAAAGCACTGGCTACAAATGGCTCCATCACTGGATATTACATGGATGCAAAGTACCTCAATCCCATCTTACATGATTCAAACTCTGAAGAACTTCGGTACCTAGGTTAAAACTGATCCAGGTGAACATACAAATTTTCCCAGAGGAATGCAACTGTTTGAGATTGAAATCTAAGATATGAATCAAATAGGTATATGGTCAAACAAGTAGCTAGTGAAACAGCTGGAAAAGGAAATTACACAATATTTTTATGAGAAGAATGAAAAGATACTGTCCAAATAATCTCTGCAAAGTTTAATATGGAGCTACTTTTATCAAATTTCCATGTTGTAACACTATCAAACTCATTTGTACTTTGTAATCACCTTAAGAAATAAATTAGCAATCTTGTACAGGATTCAAGAAATGTGACTTCACAACAGGAGCAAATCATTTGGCGCCTTAAGTGCTGTCCATCAAATACCACTTCTGCAAGAGACCAATATTCGTTAATTAACCTATACTTTTTAAGTTTTCCGAAAGCATTGATACCGGTCTTCATGCACACTTATTAATCAGAACCTAAATCATACCACTTTACTTGGCAGAAGAAAGGTCGCGTGATGATGGCATCCAGCTGCTTGATGGGCCAGCTTTACTATTGTGTCTATGTCCATGTTTTCCTGTTTCATTTGGCTCTCCTGGTTTTGGAATATTTCTTTTGAATGCATTAGCCAGAGAAAATGAAGATGAGGGGTGTGGTTCCTTGCTTATAGTCTGCAGTCAAAATTAATAAAATTCATTAAGAATAGTATCCAGTTGTTATAACATGCAATCTACAGTTAAATGGTATAGCTTGAAGCACCATCAATGCTAAATGCATCTGCTATAAAAATTAGGTAATTGCAAAAAAAATTTATAAAAAACGCAAGGGGAGCAAATTTCTGGTTACTATTATAGTTATCAGTTACTCACTAGTTTCTCTGCCATAGTACCAGCACTAAGATCGCGTACAGCTCCGGAAAGAGAAGATATGTGACCATTAGGTTGTCTCAGATCACTTGTTCCTCTGTCTGCTGAAGCATATGAAGCACCATTAAAATCCTTAATCAACGTATGACCACAATAAGCATGTTAACAGATATTAAGCTTCTGCCTACAAATTATTTGATAATGCAGTTCTTATACAATCCTCAGAATCTGAACTTTTTTTTAGATACATCATAAAACCATTTTCAATTATATATATTCAACCCAAGCACCAAATTCATGAGTTCACAAAAAATTTAACTCCTTGATTAAGTGTCCAGAACATGAAGTACCTTGAAGCTTATCTAAACCCACTGGCAATTCTTTAGTGCTGGTCAACCCAGAAGCTGACACCGGATGCTGAGAAGTAAAGTCAGTCAAATGAACACCACTTATTTTAAAGGGGAAGCAACCCACTCACAATGTAGAATAGAAACCAAGTTTTAACTTTTAAAGTACAAGCATATAACCATGTGAAACAAGAATAGTAAGATGAATTTACATGTGGTGGATAGGAAATTGTAACAAGAAAACCCAAGTCACAGATACTAACATGTAGCTGTAGATTCATCTTTGACCTCTGTGATTGTTGATACTTCATAATAGTCCAATCAAATACATAGTCAAATACAAAACCTGTCACATTGAGAAGGGCATCAATGACGTGAACATCAATTGCATACTAGTTGACCTGGTCAATGATCACTTAGAATCAACACCCTTTCTTTCATTTCCTAACTCTTAAAAAGCAACAGCATGATACTTATCCAATTCAAGGAAGATCTAGAAGATAACAAATGAACTTGAGAAATATCAAATGGGCCACACATATTTAATATGAAACATTAAAAAGAAAACCTTAATTTGTCATGCAATTTAATATTTCATCTAGGAAAAACGCATGTTTCTTTACAACATCAAGAATACATTTTGGTGAATCTTCTTTCCACCTGAGGGGAGTACATTGCTAGAAATAAAAAATGTAGAAATTATAAGACCCTTCCACCTGCCACCCCCTACACCCTGGTACCAAAACCCCCAAAAGACATCCTTACACTTTTTCTTTCTTGTGAGTGAGAGCGTCGTTCTTCAGGAAAATGTCAAAACTGAGTTAAGGGACCTACAAATTTATCCCTGCTTTAAATACCATGGTGACCAAGAAAGAAAATCAGAGCCACCTTTTGCTTGCTAGGACAAGCAAAAGCTTTCCTTTTTCCCCTCTACAAGTCACAATATAAGCAGAGTCACATTCAATGGCTCTATGTCATTCAAGTACAGGCTCTAAATTGACAAACTATAACAGCTACATTGACATAATACTAACATTTTAAATAATGGAAAATCTTTACTTGCTGCTGCTACTTTGCATGCCAAGACTCATAAAACTCTATTTTCAGGAGAATATAGGATAACATGAGAAGTATAAACAATCCATCCCAACATTGGGGTAACAAATATGGTAAACTGGATAGTCAATGGTAAAGAAATTCAAGTTGTGCACCTTCACGAGTAAATAAATCTCGGAATATACGCTTCAAGAATCCATAATCAGGCCGTTGATCAAAGGTTAATGAGTGGCAGTAATGGAGATAAGATGCAAACTCCACAGGATAAGACTTGCATAAAACCTTTTGACAAGAAATTCCCCAATCATTAGTGCACCAACAAAACATGAAGACTGTTCATAATTCAGGAAACTAATTTTATGATTTAAAAACTAAATCAGCATCCATTTATTACTGCCATTCACCTCTATAGCTAGCACATGTGAAATAATTTTTTCACCAATAAGATTACTGCATGTGTGACATTGTAACCAAACAATATAAAGGGAAGAACAAAGAACAAGCCTCCAAGATTGCATGGTCTCAGAACGGTAAATTAGTCAAATTTACCCCAAAAAACTAAGGCTGTTTCAACATATAAAATTTATGCTGTTCCTGGTTGCCATTAAAAAGCCTTACTGTTACCCCAATACTCAACACTCGAGAAAATTATATATTCCAGGATAATGTATTCCAGAATTACTCCTCATCAACCAAATGTATTTTCTTAAGGAAACATTTATAGGAACAAAACAAAATTAAATCATCATGAAAAATACCTCAACAGGTGTTGACACCTTTTTGTCACATATTTTATCATACTTTTGCTTCTTTGTAGCAGCTTTTAGACCCTGCCATGGAAGGCTACATGAAAAAACGAGTACATTAGTCCAACCTGATGAAAGAAAGAAAATATTACAGGTAAGAAGTCATGAGCAAATTCTTGTACACAGAGAAAATAACCTCGAAGAGAAATACACATACCTTCCTCTCAAGAAGTACAAAAGAACATAACCAAGAGCCTCTAAATCATCCCGTCGACTTTGTTCTATAGAAAAGAACCAATTACATAATAAAGGTTAATGCTCAACATGAGATGTGCAATAAAATATCAACACTTACCAATGCCCAAATGAGTATTACAGCTTGCATATCGAGCAGTTCCAGTCAAATTTTTCTTTTCCCTGTCTCGATCAAAAAATTTATAAATTAAACTTCACAATATACATATCTCAAAAGGAATGAAACTAATTCAACCCAATACTGCCAACAGCTGGAGAATATGCCCAGAACAACAATTTTTCTCAAGGTTTCATAACTATTAAACCATATGTGGTCCTTTCCAATGAATAACCAAAATCAAGAGTGTGAGCTGAAGCCTGTTTGTTCAAGTATAAACCGCAAATTCAAATGCTGAAGCAAATTTTGTGACCAATTCTCCACCCTAATTGGGACATATCACATCCTGAAAGCTGTGGAAGAGAATGTTGGACACTAAGTTGATGTCTATTAACAAACTGAAAATTTTACCAGAACATGTTCTGTGCTCCATTAGTTTGATTAATTTTTGACAAACAAGAAGTTCCTTCCAGGAGTTTAACACATGAATCAGAAATACAGATATGTATAATGACTGATCAAAATTATCAACAATAGCATAAGGATCCTGAAGAAGGAAAAAAAATTGCTATTCTCACTATATCAAAGGTAAGTGTTTGGGCCAGGCCAGAAGTTGATTCTGACATACCTGTAAGGGATGTGGCGGTTTGTGGTCGGATCGCGGTATCTTTTCGCAAGTCCAAAGTCAATAATATACACCTAATAACACAATGAATTAGTACCAAAAAAAATAAAAGGGAAACTCAGTCATCTGAATGACAACAAAACATGCATGTAAAGTGATAATAAGATACAAAATAATGATCAGTACCTGATTTGCTTTTCTTCCAAGACCCATTAGGAAGTTATCTGGTTTGACATCTCTATGTAGAAACCCTTTGGAATGCACATATTCTATTCTCGTAATCTGCAGTTCATTAACAAAAAATGTGACAATTTTTCAAAATCTTGACTCTAAATCAAATTTCTATATCAGCACAAACAACCAATATCTGAAAAAATGATCACATTCCAGAATGTAAAACAGAAATAAAATGTTGTCACGAGCACATCCTAAAAAAAACACAAGAAACAATAAAAGTCTGGTTACCATCTGGTCAGCCAACATGAGAACTGTTTTTAGAGAAAACTTTGTTCCACAGTAAACGAAAAGATCTTCAAGGCTAGGACCAAGAAGGTCAAGGACAAGGACATTGTCATCTCCATCTGCCCCATGCCATTTAATATTAGCAATGCCACCTGAAATCACCATATCAGATAACAATGAACAATCAACATCGAAAATTAAACTAAACAAGTAGTCCACAACAACATACTTAGCAAGAGAAGGCATAGAAAACCATGGCATACTTACTTCCGCCCTGCAGAATATTATACAACTTCGCCTCATACATTAATTGTGGATGTTTTGTCTGCTTACTTTCCTATAATGCAGAAAACAAATCAAAAATTTTCTAAAAGACTCCAACATTTTGCATTTTGGCTACCTCATAAATCCGACAATGAGCAATCAGTTTGGAACAAAAAATTCCGTCTTTAAGCCTTTTTAGAGGTTCAAGGAACATAAGTAGACAAATTCCAAACCAGCTTTACTGTATGCAAACTAACCACGACAGGTACGAGCTTATAAAAATTACAAATCAATCATGCAAAAACTAACATCTCCAGTACAAATTTCAACACCACCCAAGTCAAAATTTATCCAATTTCGATGAAGTTACTTGAGAATAACATGTCCAGCTTTATTAAGATTATAACCACCACCATGCTAGAATCTATAGGACAAGGCATATCCATTATTTCAAGTACAGAGCCAATCACAAAGTTAAACATAGTCAAAATTCGCTACAGTTACAATAACTAGCATCTCCAGCTGAATTTCACAATCAAGTCAAAAATTACTGAACTTGGTTAGAGTTACAGAAAATAAACATCTCCAGCTCAAGTTCACAATTATTATTATTATTGAACTTAAAATTGATCGAAATTCGATGTAATCTACATTAAACTAACATCTCCACTCAATTTTAAAATAACAAACACCTATCGTTGATAGGTTCCTGGAAATTCAACAGAGTTAAACAAGAGTAACATCTTCAGCTAAATTTTGCCATTCCGATCATAACAAAAGCATGTACCTAAGCTTGTGAATAACAACATCAATAAAATAAGCTAGAAAAAATTGACCAAAAAAAAACCTGGAAAATGAGAAATTCATAGGCAAAAGAGACTTACGATTTTAATCGCAACAATTTCACCCGTGTCGATATGAGTAGCTGAATTCAATCAGAAAATGAAAACAATAGAGGATCAAAAATGAAATCTTTCAAAACTTTCAACATAAAAATAAACAGTAGAAATTGAAACAATTACTAATACTACTGCTTAAAATTGGAAAGAAAGCAAGAGACCGAGATATATTACTCCGAACGAACCGCCACCGATCTTGCGCCCAAGCTTATATTTCTCTCCAATTATTCTCTCCATATATTTATGTATGTTTCTGATTATTTGAGGGGAAAAAAATCAGGAATCAATTTTTTTTTTAGGTAAAAAATCAGGAATCAATTTGGAGTTTATTCAATTGATTATAGAACCTAGGATTGAGAATTTTCCTTTCCCCTTATTTGCCTTTGTGTATTTATTCAGAAAATAAACAGAAATTCTCAGTTTCAAGATTTAGAGCTAATTAAGGGAGATTAAGATTATATGGAGGAGGAGGACAGGAGGATTAGAGAATATTCAAGGAAGTTAGACTTTTGTACTTTCACTTTGACTTTGACTTGTCTCCTCATCGGTTTTTACTGATTTTGTTTTTTCTTTTTTCTTTTTCTTTTTTTGGGTTAATTTGGTTTTTGACTCTTCTCCTTGGATAACTTGATAAATTTTACTTTTTATCTTTTAACTTGTTGTGAATTCGTAGGTAAGCACGTGTAATTCAATTCGACAAATAGGCTTTTATTTGATTCAATAGATAGGATTTACCGTTTTATAAAAGTTCTTGAAATTAGGAATGTGAAATAGTTGGTTTATGATATTAAAATTTGAAATAGTAATTGCAATTCAAGAAAGGATCAAACAAAATTTGTACTAACTCATTTGCATTAATGGTAGATCATATAACCTCAGATTTAACAATTGTAAATATTTTTGGGAGGTGTCTTTATTTCTTTTAGTATACAAAATTCGATCGAAAATTAAACAGTTCCTTTTTTGCCTCCTAACTTGAGCAATTACGACTATAGTTGGAAGGGTAAATGAATTGATAAGTAACTTCAGATGGAACAGAGATCTTGTGAATAGAATATTTAACCAAGAAAATGCAAAGAACATACTGAAGATCCCAATAAGCATATCTGGACTGTGCCTTTTGGAAACACTCAAAATCTGACATATACACTGTCAGAACAGGATACATTGAGTGCATAAAGAAGTCAGGAAGAATGGAAGGGACTACAAAAGAGGGCAAATTCTACCAACAAATGAGCTAATTTATAGGAGGACCAAAACTGGAGAAGCATGGTGCAAGTATTGTGGAGATAAAGTGGAAACACTTGAGCATATTTTGTTCATCTGTCCAAAGGCTGAACAAGTATGGCAAGTAGCCCCTTTTCAATGGGACGGATTACTGGAGAGAAGATGGAATTTCTGGGACTGGTGGGAAGGATTAATTGAGGCATTGAGAAGAGAAAATGGGAGAGACCCCATCAACCTAACTGTTAATATACTATGGAACGACTGGAAGGAGAGGAATGGGTTCCAGTTTGAATCAAAAGGAAAGAAGGAAATTGAAGTGGTGCAAAAAGCCTGGCAAGAATGCGAGGAATATGATAGATGTTGCAGGGAACACGAACCTCACAGGTCAAAGGATGAGAACGATCTTAAGGGGCACAGAGAAGAAAGAAGGATAAAGCACCACATAAACTTGCGGGTACCTGTAAAAAGTAAGCAAACCAACAGAAAAGTTGGGGTAACCAACTTTTTCCTCTGAAGGACTAAGCCACCACATGAATTATGGTGTTGGATGTCAATGATTCAAATCTTACTTCCCATGAATTTGTCATTATATGTAATTTTTTTTAAATTCTTATGAATATGTGGTGCATCCGTCTGATTTAATGATAATTTAATTCCCGTCGATTCTCTCGATCCGGTTAAATCACCGCTAAAGTAGGCACGAGTAGAAGTAGAAATAGGAGTAAAAATAAGTTACACCAGGCATAACGTTCCATTATGCAGAAAATAAAATAAAAATTTGGGTGGGAATCACAGCAGACCTGCGAGGGAAGTTAAGGGTGGCATGGCCTGTGTCAGAACAATTTCCACATGGAGAGACCAAAGGGATGGAGGAAGCTGAAGCTGTCAGATTGGCTCTCGCCAAGGCACTAGAGCAAGGGTGGCAGAAAGTCAGTATATGAGTAACCATCGAAGAAGTATCAGTCTTTGGGCCGGTGATCACCATCAATGCATTAAGCTTTTGTGGGATGAGAGTTAAGGTTTGAATCCTTGGCTCTCACCAATTTGTCACAATTAAATGTGGCTTTGTTTAAAAAATTCAGACGGATGCGTAGTGCATCCGTCTGATCTGGTGGTAGTTCAGTCCCCTTCAAGTTATTTTAGGACCTCTTCAGACCCTCCCTCTCCCTATAATATAGGAAGCTATGGTATCGATAAAAAAAAAAAAAAAAAAAAGAATAACAATCAAAGAGCTCAGTAGAAAAGTACAGAACAAAGACCAAAATGATGCATTGTTAGCAACACTCATTGGGGAAATCATACAATTGAAAGACATGTTTTCAGCAATGTTTTTCAAACCCGGACCGGACCGGCCGGTCCGACCGGTTCGACCGCGACCCGGCCATGTGTCCGGTCCGGTTCATTACTTGTGTTGACTTGGTTCAAGAACCGGTCAAACCCGTAAAAAACCGTTCAAACCGTTAAATCTGAATCGAACCGTGAACCGCGATTTTTTAATTTTGGGCAAAATTGATTGAATTTTGACCGAAATTATCTAAACCTATTCTTTAGTTCACTTTTCAATCTTCATTCGGTCTTCTACTCTTCGTCCTTTGCTTCGCCGCCGCTTCGCCCTTTTGTTTTTCAGCCAACAATCTTCCTCCATAGCCTGCCCCTGCTTCACCTTCACGGCTTCACCACCACCTTCAGTTGCTGATCAGAAGCAAGATGATGGTTTTGATGAGTTTGATCCTCGTAGCTCATTTTCAGGTAAGATCTGGTTTCACCTTCACGGCTTCACCACCACCCTCTTATTTAGTTTGATTTCACAAAAGATCTGGTTTGTCCTCAAATTAGAAAAGGTATTTTTTTTGGTTTGTCCTCAAATTAGATAAGCTGATCAGTTTGTCCTGCAATTTTTTTTTTACTCGTTAATTGGCTTTGTTGTCTGGCTTGAAGATTGTAGCAAAGGTGAATCAGTGGGTTAATCTATTATCTTATTGTGGAGACTGAATCAGTGGGTTTTTTTTTTTATCTTATTGCTGGCTTGAAGGCTCGTTAGTTGGCTTTGTTGCACGTTGCAGTGATGAGCTCGTTGGCTGTTGCAGTGTTTCTCTCTTTGTTGTCTAAAAATTGGTAGTAGCATTTTCGTTCTTTTGGTCCATTAGGAGATTGCAGAGGGATTCAATTGAATGAGGCAGTAAAAGAATTTGGAATAAGAAAGAACAGAACTAAGAGCTGCCAATCTCATATGATTGATTCTTTAACTGAAACTATGAAAGGCACTCTTCAAGAAAGAACCAAGCAGATGCTAGTTGGCTATGTTTGACCTTTCGCAATCATTTGTTTCATTAAGAATATTTCCACTTGGATGCAAAAGCAGAATGATGCAATAGCATAATCCTCCACATGCCACCGCATCTCACCTAGTTTTAACATGCATGGACAGAGAAATATCTGACTTACCTATGATTGAGCAATTTACATAATTCTTAATTAGCCATTAGGCCTCCATGTACTAAGCTGCTGTCTACCTGGCTGTTTGTTTTTGTTCTTGTTTCTTTGGGTATTAACTCTACCTTGAATTTTGCTAATAGTTCTTGGTATTTACCTGTAATTTACTTATGATTCAACATGAAGGGAATTTCTGGTCTTGGATTTTAGGTAGAAGTTTGAGAAGAAAGAAAATGTTAACCATTATTAACACTAGGTGTATATTTTAGTTTTGGCAATTATTACAAGACTAGGATTATTTTCTGTGCATAGGTATATGTGTGTGTATATATATAATTTATTTATTTATTTATTTATTGAACCGGGATTGAACCGGTCCGACCGGTTGAACCTCGACCCTTTTACTTCACCGGTTCATTTAACGGTCCGAGTTTTAAAACATTGGTTTTCAGTCGTGTGGCCCAAAATATAGCCAATGTTGCGGTCAGCTTAATACATGATGTAGAGTGGAAGCACAGCTTCCCACTGTGGATTTCACAGTGAAATAGTTAAGCTCTGTGGCTTATCTGTGATGGACATTGGTCCAGAGGTAAATAGTTGCACTTTCATTGGTAATAGAAATGAAATTTTGTCGTTTTAAAAAAAAAAAGACTATAGTTGGAAGGCCCAAGCTTTACGACTATAGTTGCCTTTGACAAAGATAGGCTAGTTGGTTAACCGAAAAAAAGAATAGAAAATGGAAGAACAAAATTTTGTTTTCTTTTTTAAATCAAATCAAGCAAAATTTGAATATCATATTTGCGGGTCCTTATCGTTACAGATTAATTTTCTACATACCTATTAGATATATACTATCAAGCTTAGGTGTTAGCATATGTAGTATCAAGCTTGTGTGTTTGGATTGCCAAATTATCCTAAATAATATTTCGCTTGCATTATGAATACATTTCCCAATTCACTTTTTCATATTTCCAACTACTTTTTATCTCAAATACATCACATCACAAAAAGTGGTACAGTATATTTTAAATAATACTCTATCCAAACATATATATATATATATCTTCATTATTAAAAGGACAAAAGTAAAAGATAGTACTAAAAACACAAATAAAATAAGTGAAAATTTTATATATACTATCGCAGTTGAATGCACAATGTATATAGAATTTAGATTTCAAATTCAAATTTGAATTATATATCATATATTTAATGATGAATGTGTATATACATTATTAGTATATAGAAAATTAATCCATAAAATGAAGATAAGAGTTTGAATTTCAGAGAAATAGAAGGCTATAATGGGGTGACAGGAGGAGTGATTCTGTGGAGAATAAAAGAGAACAGAGAGATAGAAGCTATGTTATAAAACTCGGCCAGATCGATCGATTCGACCGATCAAACCGAAAATCGATCAAATATTCGGTCCAAATTATCTTAAAGACTCGGATTAATAAAACTTGATCGGGTTTGACCAGAAGAACCGGTAAAAACCGGCCTCCACGGCCTAGCCTTGCTTTGCTACTTTCAAGTTTCAATGAGCTTTCTGAATGGAAATTTTTGACTGAGGAACACGACTCTCTCTTCGAATGCTCTGAGATTCTGATTTGACAGAGCAGACCCCAACCAGTTTTATCAATCATGCTTTCACATGGTGTCAAAAGCATTTTCAATATGTTTTCACTTATAGGTTATTAAAAATTATTAATATATCTCAAATATTTTATACTTTATAAATATTTATCTTAATGTTTGATGTTATTTTTCAATTAAATTCATAATTTTAATTCTAAACTTGTTAATGTTTATTGAATAATATAAATTGCTACT